AACCCCAGTTCACTGGGCATCTTCATATCCATTACGAGGGATGTCCCAAAACACGGAATATGAGGGGGAGGACAAGGCTGGGGCTAGAACCTTGGTTGATACTTTGGGAGCACTGGATAGGCCTCGACTACTGCAACTCCCTCCTCACTGGCCTGCCTCGCCGCTGGCTATCCCCGCTTCAGTCCATCCTGAATACGGCTGCCAGACTCATTCACCTTTCCAACCGCTCTGTCTCCGCCACCCCCCTCTGCCAATCCCTCCACTGGCTTCCGATTGCGCAACGGATCAAATTCAAAAGCCTAACGCTGACGTACAAAGCTGTCCACCATACTGCCCCGAACTACATCACTGACCTAATATCCAAGTACCGCCCAGCACGCACACTCCGCTCCTCACAAGACCTCCTTCTCTCTAGTTCCCTGGTCTCCTCCTCCCATGCCCGCCTCCAGGACTTCTCCAGGGTGTCACCCATCCTCTGGAACTCCCTGCCCCAACCCATCAGATTATCACCTACTCTCCTCTCCTTTAGGCGCACCCTGAAAACCCATCTCTTCAGGGAAGCCTACCCCACCCCCTGCTAACTTGCCGACCTCCTCCACTCTTCCTACCACTCCATCCCCCACAGCTATCTCCTCCTGTGCCACCACCCCCTCCCTCCTAGATTGTAAGCTTGTAAGAGCAGGGCCCTCGATCCCCTCATGTTTTGCATTGTATTGGTATTGTTCTGTCACATGTTCTGTCCCCCTTTGTAATGTACAGCGCTGAGCGAACTATTGGCGCTTTATAAATACTGTATAATAATAATAATATTAATAGGCCCAAAAGGAAAGGCCCCAAATTGAAAGAGGCAGTCTCTAACTCCAAACCTTAGGAACCTTTGGTGAGTTGGGAAAATTAGGATGTGCAGATAAGCATTGTTGATACCCACTGAGGCCAAAAAATGCCCCTGCTGGATGGAGGCCACTACTGATCAGAACGATTCCATTTTGAACTTGTATACGCAAGAGAAACCTGGTGAATCTCTAGATCTAGGATGGGGCAAATATCGTTGCTCAGTTTCAGAGCCATGAAGACGTTTGTGTAGAAACTGTGATACCTTTCGCTCTGTAGGACAATCGCTCATCCACAGATCACACAGATAGGTGATCAAAAGCTCACAAATTAACTATCTTTTTTTTGCAGATTCAAAGAAACATTTGAAAGCATAAAGCACAGAGAAGAAACAGACTGAAATGCCAGATTGTAACCTCAAGCCACTATGTTACTGACTCACTTATTCATAATGTTCCCCTACCAAATGAGTGGAAGTGGGTTCTGACACAATCCCACGGTCACAACCACAGTTTGTATGCCTGCCCCAACCAGTGCAAAAGAGACTTTAAGTAAGTCCCCCAAATGCTTGTCCTAAGTATCCTTAAATACTGGGACCTCATCCACTGGCACCGTGAGAGTCTTTTTAACCACTAGCCTACAGGGCACTTATACCCCCTTCCTGCCCAGGCCAATTTCCAGCTTTCAGAGCTGTCACACTTTGAATAACAATTGCGCGGTCATGCAACACTGTACCCATATTAAATTTTTAGCATTTTTTTGTGACAGATAGAGCTTTATTTTGGTGGTATTTAATCACCTCTGGGTTTTTATTTTTTATTAAACAAACCAAAAACCACTGAAAAGTTTGGGGGGAAAAAAACGGTTCTTACGTTTTTGTTATAAAATTTTGTAAATAAGTGATTTTTCTCCTTCACTGATGTGCGCTAATGAGGCTGCAGTGATGGGCACTGATAGGCTGCACTGATGGACACTAATAGGTGGCACTGATGGGCACTGACAGGCATCACTGATGGCCACTGAAAGGCAGCACTGACTGGCCCTGTTAGGCAGCACTGACTGGCACGGATAGGTGGCACTAATAGGTGACACTGAAAGGCAGCTCAGATGAGCACTGATATGTGGCATTGATGTGGCACTGATGGGGACTGAAATGTGGCACTGATGAGCACTGGCAGGTGGCACTGATGGACACTGACAGGTGGCACTGCTGGGGCTACACAGATCATCAGGGCACACTGATAATCAGTACTCTGATGATCTAAAAATATAAGTAGTGCAAAGAAAGCACAAGCATGATCGCCAACTAAAACACTAGCAAAAAGCTGAAGCTACACCTAGCTGGGAGGGATTATGCCTGGATGAGGATTTTCTTAATTTTTTTGCAAGTGTTTAGTCATCATCGTAAGGTGGCAGCATAACCCTATCATAATGCATATGACAATGCCCTGTGTCCTGGGATGTGCGATAAAAAAAGCATTTTTTTTTTTTGCTTTTACATAGTTCTCTTCCATGTGTTCGTTATTGTATTTAGACTTCTAGAATAGCGAAGAAACCCTGTATTTCATCTGTCTTTTAGCTTAGCAACTGTATAAACAAAGCTGGCCATACACTGAAGAAAATCTGCCGATACCCTCATCCAAACTAAACAGCATGGATAGAGGAACCTACCCAGCAACTATATTCTGACAACCGTGAGCGCTGTAGATGTAGGGCTAAAATCTTTGTCAGTTCTGTCTTCATTGCATTCATTTGTGACTGCTGAGGATTTTCTATTGCCTCCCCTCTTACTGACAGGTGAAAACACACAGACAGCATTTAGAACACCTTTTTCAGTAAAGTGAAGGTAAGGCTAGAATCTCTGTCACCATTTTTTTTTGTTGGTGTACAGATTTCTTCTTACTTCATAGTGGCAGTATTGTCATGGGACAAATGAGATGAAATCTTCCCAACAAGGCAATAGACAGTGATATCAATGTATATAACATCATCCCCTCCATAAAACTGGAGGCAGAGAGTCGAAGTAAAACCTACTATCCCCAACCTCATTGTTTAATCATAAGTATAATCTCTGCTTCAGAAATACACATCAACTGGTTAGCAGTATGTCCAGACTCAGTTAAGTAGCTCCCAGAGTCCTCTGGCAAATATACAGAACTTTGTATGTCCCACTTTCAATATAAATATTGAATGATCACTTAGTGCTGAAAATGCTGCTCAACACTGCACAGTATTCCCTTTATATAACAACAACAAAAGACGGGTTGTCTTCTGTTTGCATAGCAAAACTAAATTTAATGCAGCAGTGTACTTGCACTTGCAGAGTAAAAAATTATCAGAATGTTGGACTTCTGTTCCAGAAAATCTTTACAAATAAGAAGCCAGAGCAAACTCTTTCTCATAAAGCCATTCATGTAAACAGCTCTTCAAATGGTGTAGATTCAATTAAAGCCAAGCCCATCTTTGTGGACTTTCTGTATCTCGTAATGGGAACCAACATGATCCTCAGTGCTGTTCAAACAATGCACAAACAAGAGTAAAGGACTTCTTGAGCACTACTAAAGATGGATGAAGTATACTTGAGCACATGGAAGCTGGAGGTAAACTTCATTCTGTAACATTGCCATACTCCAAGGAAGGGCTCTGCATGAATCACAGAGGCTTGTGATAGACTAACATCTTTTATAATTGACAGCCTAAATAAAATGTCCATTCAGTTATGAATACTATAGGTTCCTGGTTGCCAGTGTCTGTTCAATGACTGCTGCAGGTATTCCACACTTCAAATTGTGTAACTATCTGCTCCCCTAGCTGCACACACAATAGGTAGTCCCGCAGCTTTATACGTCACCAAAGAACGCGCAAGGTGGTGACAACATCTACTGCATGCAGCAGGGATCTGACCCACTAGGAAAGGTTAAATCCCGCAGCAGCTGGGGAGCAAGACACAGGCAGCTGGAAAGGTAAAGTACAGATGGACTTGTACAGGATGACCTTTTGTTATAAGCGTCCCTGTTGCTAGGAAAAATAAATACATTTTATTTAACCCAAACAATGAATTTCTCTTACTTGCATTCTTTCAGTCTGTTATACACCACTGAGCGGGTTTTGTTATATCCGCTCAGGAAGGAAAAAAAAAAAATCTAACACTTATTAGGAAGCGTGTTAGGACAACAGAACACCTGCACCTATGTTTCAGAGAACAGAAAAGGAGGTTTTCTGTAGTCCTAACACTTCCTGTGACAATGTTGCTTCTCCCTAGAGGCAGAAAAAGATTAAGTGATGTTACCCTAGGGCAGGAAGTGCATTACTGACAGGATCAGCAGAAGCCGAAAATCTGAGGAAAAGAGAACTATTGCAGCCACCACATCTAAGGACTGATATGTTGCTAAAAGTAACATTTTATTCTTGGAATAGCAAAATCTTTTTTATCTTGAAGAGTCAAGGCCACTGCTGGCATCCAACATTTTAAGTCCCCTTTTACATGGGTGGAGCCAATCAGGTCTGCCTGATCGTTTTTCAGGTGGACCTGATCGGAAGGTCCATGCATCCCTAAGGAACAGGCAGCTGTCACCTTCCTACCTCCGAGTCTGATCCGGTCTGCTTAAAAAAACAAAACAAAAACAAAAAACCATAAGGGGATCCATCCTCTTGCTATTAGGTGGATCGATTGGAGGGTAGTCAGACAGGCACAGTCAGTTTAACTTCCAGCCACCCATAGATCTGTGAGCTGATCCCCTGCTGATCGAAACAGATTCTGCAAAGAACCCACCCTGTGTGAAAAAGGCCTAAGGAATGTCAGATGCTATGTATCCCACTGCTCAGGACAGTTCCACTTGCCAGCTGCTATGTCACTAATGGAGACAGTAGAGCAGGGCACATGGTGTCCACCAGACACAGAATTGGCAGATACAAGCAGCAGCCAAGAAAGCAAAGGTTGCAGTTGGTGCCCATAGGACAGGTATTCTTTTTCTTTACAGGCTGCTTCTATTTTCCTAGCAAAATTGTTGGTTTAAACTATCAATAATAAAAAGATAAAGTCAAAATCTTTTCAAGATGCAGAACATGCATTAGACAATGGGAACCAAGCCAAAGCTTTAGAATCCTACACAAATGATATTATTAGCAAAAGCAAGATTATGGCACATCAGTGATTAGTGGTCACACACCTTTTCCTAAATGTGTATTAATACTCATGTATCTAGCTGTTCCTGTAAGGCTCTTGTGTTCTCTGTAAGGTATGTGCTTCTTTGTTTCTGGGTCTATGTATTCTTTTGCCAAGCCAAAATCTATAATGTGAATTATTTGCTGGTTCTTGTTTCCTGGTCGACCTATCAAAAAATTTTCAGGCTTTACGTCTCTATATATCAGGTTTTTCGAATGAACGTATTCCATGCGGGAAATCTGTGGAAAAATGGAAAAGAGGAAAAAAAAAAACAAAATTAACATTGAAGTCATGAAAAAAATATTTCGGTGTTTCAATATTCAACAGCAAGAAAGTTTATTGTGAACAGGTTTTAGAGCAGCACATCATCATCAGGATTGATCAGTAACCAAAGGCAAAGAAAAGGTCTATGGTGCCCAATACATTCTCTTTCTTGGTTATATTCAGTTATATTTCTCTCTATTTTCACTTCAATGTGTCCCTTGACAATTCATAAAATTTGGCTGGTAGTCATGAATCTGTTCATAAATGAAGCTTCAAAAGCTGCAGAATAAATTCAACACAGAAAAGTTTGGTTTTACTCGCTAATGGTGAAAATCTGAAAGGCAGTGCATTCTAGAAAGTTTCTTTATTAACCACTACAAGACCAGACTGCTTTACCTTTTTCATGCCCAGGCCATTTTTCTGCTTTTAGCACTGAATGACAATTATGACAACTGAGAAATGTGTTTCCTTAGTTCTGGTTATAAAATTCAGCACATAAATAATCTCTCTTCATAAATTTAGGCCAAATGTATTCCGCTACATTTCTTTGGTAACAATAACCCAAATTTGTGTATATTATTTAGTCTGTAGGAAAGTTATAGCGTCTACAACTGGTACATATATTTGAAAACTGATCAATTCTGATGTACTGACAACCTCATTTCTTAAGGCCCTAAATTGCCAGGACAGTACAAATACCCCTAAAATGACCCCTTTTTTGGAAAGTAGACAGTCTGAGGTGTTTGGGAGAGTTTTCAAGAGGCATGGTGAGTTTTTTTGAATTTGTAATTTTTTTTGTTTGGAAAATAAAGAATCAAAAAATTTTTTTTCCCCACAAAGTTGTTATTTCTCACACACAGCATAGGTCTACAAACTATGGTATATACAGTGGCAAGAAAAAGTATGCAAACCCCTTGGAATTACCAGGCTTTCTGTAGTAATTTGCATTAAAATATGATCTGATCCTCACCTAAGTCACAACAACAAACACAGACAAACACAATGTGCTTAAAGCAGAATTAGGCTCCATGTACACGAGCCTACCCTGACCGCTGGTCGTGGGAAAACGCAAATCGCTGCAAAACCGCGGTTACTGCGTTTTTGCCACGCTTTGCGTTTTCCCACGGTCAGCGGTCAAAACTTTCCTATTCTAAACACGAATCTTCCGCGTTCAGGAGAGGGAGGTTTAACCTCACCAAAACGGGGCTGCTTCTAAACTCTGCTAAAAGCCTATGTGTACATGGACACATAGGCTTTTATGGAGTTAAGTTTAGGAGCTTTGGCAAAAAAATGTCAAAAGCTCCTAAACTCGAGTTTAGGAGCTGCTTGTGTACATTGAAGCCTTATATTCACCTTACATCTCGCAATGCAACATCCCAGGGCTCCCACCCCAGCCTCTAGCCATCTTCGGGCTTTCATTGGCCGGACAGGGGTGGCGATGACATCACTCCTGCGCATGCACGGAGTGCAGACAGCTTCAAAGGGGAATTTTAAATATTTCTCTTCACAAGACTGCTTTGTAGGATGTCTGGTATGAACAGCTCGCAAAATCATTCCACAGAATTTTTATGGGTTAAGGTCCGGGCTCTGAATGGGTCACTCCAAAAGGTGCATTTGCTTTTTCTGAAGCCAGTCTGTGGTGGATTTTCTTCATTACTTAGGGACATTGCCCTGCTGCATCACCCAACTTCAACTAAGCTTTAGCTGGCAGACAGTTAAGCTGACATTATCCTGTAGGACATTTTGGTAACCTTGGGAGTTCATTTTTCCCTTGCTGGTGTCAAGTGGTCCAGGCCCTGGGGCAGCAAAGCAAGCCCAAACCATGATGTTCCCTCCACAATCATTCACCATTCAGATGATGTTTTGATGTTGATAAGCTGTACCCTTTTTTGCATCACATATAGTGCTGAGCATTCTTTCCGAACAATCCAACTTTTGTTTCATCAGTCCACAAAACACTTTCCCAGTAGTTACTCTTTGGAAACTTCAGGCACACAGCGATGGGTTTTTAATTTTTTTTGGAGAGCAGCAGCTTCCTCCATGTTGTTCTGCCATGGACACCCTACCTGTGCAAAGACGTACGTGTGGTAGGCTCATGTACAGGGATGTTTGCCAGTTCCACTGTCTTCAAGCCTTTAGCTGTTACTTGTGGATTCTTGTTTACCTGATTGAGGATTTTGTGCTGTGCCTTGGGAGTCATCTTGGCTGGGCACCCACTTCCAGGAAGGGTAGCCATGGTACTAAACGGTTTCCATTTATAGAAAAATGTGTCCACTGAGGGATGCCTAAACACTTTGAGATTGATTTGTATCCCTTTCTAGCTTTTTCTAGGTTTTTTTTTTTTTTTTATGATCACCAGAACAGTGAATTGACAGCAGTAGGCAATCAATTCCCCAGCACTGTCCAAAGACTTATGAACAAATTGTGCAGCGCAAAACTATATGAAACAAGTATAGATGTGTTACCAAACAATCCAATAAATAACCAGTATAGAATGTCCAATAAATGAATGACAGGGACACAAATAATCCACTATGACGTGTCCCAAAAAAACTTGACCGAATATTAGTCCCAGACAATGATGTGATTAAATGGTGACCAAAAAATGATTGTGACTTCTGTGACTTCAGTGTTACTCCTCCACCATTATGCACTCACCAGAAGTAAGTAGCACCCCAGCATTGGATGAAATGACTCTGAAGCATATCTGCCCACTTCCTATCACCAGTCACCGATCCATCCATGGGTGGAATCCCTCCAGCTGGCATCAGCACTCTCTACGTACAATCACTTGGCGTGTAAGACGGGCTCGTCCTCGCCGACCGGTTCTTGACTGGCAGACGCAGTGCGCGCCTCCTTAATCCAGCGTGTTCTTGGGAACCTCACTGACAGCGCGCGACCCCGGCGCAGGGCACTGATAGTGAGAGAGGAGCGTCCCTGTCATTCATATATTGGACATTCTATTCTGGTTATTTACTGCATTTTTTGGTAACACATCTATAATTATTTCATATATTTTAGCGCCATTTGTTCATATGTCTGTATAGTGGGAGCAGAGGGTTTGCCACATTGTGCCAGCTGCTTCCTTTATTATTATTTTCCTTTCGTGCTCACTGTTCACATTTATTACTGTTCAGAGACTGCATTAATGCAGTCTTTCTTTAATACTACATTACAGCATCACTTCTGGTTCCAGTCCTGAAGTCAGGACTGAAACTGGAAGTGACATGGTAACATTGTATGAAAATTACGTAGGTGGTGAGACCGTGATTGGATCGCTACACGTGCTTTACCTGACGCCACTTCATGTCTCATTCACGGATAAGCACTATGTTGATTTTAATTTTGAGAGTGGCTTTTCACTATTTTAATAAAGTTTATTGGTTACCATTGGAGCCATCTTTTTTTTTTTTTTCATATACTGACGGTATGAGTCGGATAGAGAATTATTATGATGAAGATTAATTTCCTGAAAGCTGATATGCAAGTAAAAAAGTGAGTTATACCAATCATGAGAATGGGAGACATAATGGTTTGGTGAGTTTTTTCATAAGGTAGAGGGACTGCACAAGCGGTGCTCTGATGGAGCAAGAGTTTTTTTTTTTTTTTATAAGGGGAGAAACACTACTTTTCACACACTATTGGCTGTGGACTTATTAGGACGACTCTTTATGCACTCTTCCATATTATTATATCACAGCGCTACTGTAAAATGGATACATTGTGTTTTTAGGTTTTGACTTTTTGGCCAAGGAAAGTGGCAGCAGCATTGTAATATCTGTTTACTACTGTTACTGTGATTACAGTGTACTGATCTGTGGCCCACTGTGTCTTAGGGGCACAGCAATCACAGATCATGTGCTGCATGCCCCCACATGGGTATTGACCTCCCTGAACAGTTCTTGCCCTGCCCAGCCGTATATGTACAGTGGTCGAGTGTGACGCAGTTAAAGGAGGACACCAGTCACAGAAGATGTAGTATTCTGATAACTATAAGCAAATAACACATGTAATCCTAGTACATAGTATATTTTCAGTGTGTTCTTGTTCCCATGTACATGTAGACTAAACTGACTGGCAAAATTGACATGGGCTGGGACAAGACACAAAAAAACTTTCAGGCGTGCTTACAATTACCTTTTATTTACTTGGCAAGCTCCCCTAGCAGAGTTATTATAGCTTATCACCAAGCCTTCAATGACTCCCACTACAGTGTCTAAGCCAATGAAAAGAGAAAGAGCCCAGAGAGCCTCTACTCTCATACACATCACTGGATCGAGATCAGGATCAGGTGAGTGTAGGGGGAAGAGGAGCTGCATACAGAAGGTTTTTCACCTTAATGCACAAAATGCATTAAGGCAAAAAAATTCCAGCCTTTAGAACCACTTTAACATTAACCAAGCTGCCACCAAGAGAGGCACAACTCTGCCATCGCCACCCCCCACTGCAATGATTATATTGCCCTCTTTGCCTAATGGTAGAGCAATAAAAAGTGTAATACTTAACTTGTTTCTGACTCTGACAGACTCCCTCTCTCTGTGCAACAGGTGACTCGATGCCTACTCTCTCAGGCATTCCTGGATGTGGTGGCCCTCTCACCTGTGCACATACAATCCAGGACTGAAAGTCCTGCACTGCATGCGATGTTTCCGAGAGACCACCCACAGTCCAAAGCATCAGGGAGAATAGGAAAGACTTGAAGCAAGAAATACAGTAAGTAATACAGCCTCTTCCCTTATGTTTAGAGTTAACAAACATTAAAACCTTTAATGAGACACATTCAGAAATCCATATCTACTTACCAGTTGTATGGCTATCATGAGCACAGTTTTTAAGGAAAATGTTCTGTCACACAAGTCGAACAAGTCTTCCAAACTTGGCCCCAACAATTCTAGCACCATGGCATTGTATTTACCGCATGGGCCAAAGTAATAAACCTGAGGTACACCATCTAAAATAGAAACAAAGGAGAGAGAAAAAAAAAAATTAACTCCTGTAGTGATAAAATACATCCCACTAGGTAGTTACAAAAGGTCAAATGCCAAATGACAGTATGCATCAGCTCTCAAAGAGCACATCTACTGCACCATAATAAAGATTTTTTTAAGGCAACTAACAGAGTTCCAGAAGACTCAAATGATGCAAGTGCATCAACACAGGACAATTCCTAAATGCCCCAAAATACAGCATGATAAAATTGCCTGCCACAAAATGACTCACATTCAACAATCATCGCATATAATGAGTTTCAATAAAATGAAACCTATTGCAGGAAAAATAGTTAAAAAACCCAAACATTATACACCAATCAGCCATAACATTATGACCACTGACAGGTTAGATGAATAACATTGATTATCTCGTTATAATGACATCTGAAAGTCGGTGGGATATATAAGGCAGCAAGTAAATATGTTGTGCATGGGGTGTAAAGGGGTAGTTCCAATTAGGGATACCCTTTTTTGATGAGTGAGTATTGATAGATGCTTGAGATTCTCAGCTGTAGGAAAGGAGAGAAAGCCAATTTCATTTGAAATCCCCACAGCTTTCTCTCCTCTCCTTGCAGGGATGACAGTTCGAGCTAGAGGGCTTTGATTGGTCATCACCGTTATATGGACGGTGCTGACCAATCAGAAACTGTTAGCCTGCGCAGTCATCCCTGTAAGAAGAGGAGAGAAAGCTGCTTCATAGGTCTGGGGATTTGATATCCGCACGACTTTCTCTCCTCTCCTTGCAGGGAAGACAGTACAGGCTAGATAACGTCTGATTGGTCAGCACCATCCCTGTGATGGTGCTGACCAATCAAAAGTTCTCTAGCCCGAGCTGTCACCCCTTCAAGGAGAGAAGAGAGAAAGCTGCAGGGATTTCAGATCCTCAGATCTGTGAAGCAGCTTTCTCTCCTCTCCTACAGCGGAGGATGATAAACATCCCATATGCCCACTCTCCGCTCAGCATGCGATCGGAGCAGGGAGGTTTCGTGCTCCGCTCCTGTGTGAACTCGGGCTATGACAAGCCTGGTTCACACAGAAGCAGTGGGGAAAACGCATGCGATTGGAACAGGAATCGCATTCCTGTTCAAATCGCATGCTATTCTTTGCAGTGTGATTTGCTTCAATGCAAATTGGGCCACAAAGTATCGGTTTCCGGAATTGGAAGCATTTTCACGAGTATAAGTGAAAATATTTAATATCAATACCGGTATTTGGTACTAATACTGGTATCGATGCATCCCTAGGTCCAATATTTTATGTCTCAAAACATTTGTGCAAGCGCAAAATTTTTGTAAAAAAATACACTAAAGAGTATAATTTTATAATTTAAAGGCACACAAATGCAATATATTGTCCATATTTTTTTCTAAAATATAAAAGATGAAGTTGTGCAGAGTAAAGAGATATTAAACACGTCAAGCTTTTTGTGCACACCTGCAAAATGACAACAAGCTATATTTTCCATAGACAACGCTTTATAAGCCCATTGAGGTCAGGTCAGGTAGTGTTAACTGTGAATAATGGCCCTCAAGTATTCCTCTCACTCCAGCATGAGCAGTGACATGCAACTTTTATATCGCAATAACATTTTCACACACAAGTGCCCCTGACAGGTACATTTACATTCATATGCATATCTGGGGACAGGGCATACTCAAGCATTTTTTTACCTTTACTAAAACACGATTTGTGTCACACTGGGGGTAAAAAAGGGGAACACTCAGGGGGTCAGAGAAAGCAATCTGGCAGTAAAACTGGCAGCACGCCTTTTTGAATTTGGAGTAGGACTTGTCAAATGCCATATCACCAGAAAAGTAGCACAAAAGCTTCACTGAATTCCCCTCATACTGCATTAGCAAAATAAATGTCACTTAGGGTTTAGGTCTATAGCAAGTCAGTATTGGTGTGCATGTCTTTAACAAATATTGATTCATAACACAGAGGCAGAGAAGTGAATGATAACACCATATCAGCCTCACCATATTCATTGTTTCTCCAACAGTGGAGTCATGCTTTCTTTTACATAGACAGACTGAAGAGAAGAAATTAATGCTTCCACCAAGTATTCAAAGCAAACTTGCAGCGTGTAGGAAAGTTTTATTGTAAGTTGTCTAAACAGTCAGATTTTCTGTTTTATATGAATTCGGTCTAGTCCAACCAAGGCATATTTAAGTGTCAGGCGAGTCTGCTGTATACTCTCTCTTCTCTTGGGGACCTCATCCAACATAATCCTTACTTAGAGACGACCCACTCCTACTGCCAAAAACACCCCCCCACCCAACACATGTTGCAATTTCAATAACTTTACCATTTTCAAGTGCAAAACACAGAGGTCAAAGACATCTTGCAACAGGAATCCCAAAGAAATACAAGACCCTATGGGGTTTATTTACTAAAGCTGGAGATTCCAAAATCAGACTCCCTTCTGCATAGAAACTAATCAGCTTCTAACCTCAGCTTGTTCAATGAAGCTTTGGCAATGAAACCTGGAAGCTGATTGGTTTCTATGCAGAAGTGAGTCTGATTTTGGACTCTCCAGCTTTAGTAAATAAACCCCTATGCATCAAATACCAGTTAACCAAGCGATATTCTGGTTGTAATAGTCACTATTGTTAATAAGCGAATTAGTATTGGATTATTAGACATAATCAGACCATAATAGCCATTGCTGAATATTTACAAGCAGCACTTAACAATATCCGCAGCCTTACTATTTCTTTTAATCCATTACCGTGCCCACCAGAAATATGGATATCTTTCTCCCTGGTGCTGGTGGAGTATATGGCATATATACCAAACCAAAACAAGTCTAACTGGGAGTTAAAGCTGGGTGATCTAAAATCCGCAACAGCACTGGGCTCTTCCAAGTCCAGTAATGAGAATGGACTTTCCTGAACAAAAACCATATGCACGATTAGCAATTCATTCATTTGAGAAAAAAAAAATTGCTTTCTGCTCCTTCAAATTTTTTTAACACTGCAGTCAAAACAAACATCAGGTTTACCCCAATTAGAAAATCAAATGAAAGTTCGCAAAACAAAACATTTTTGAACAAAATTCTACTAGTGTATGGTCCTCTCAACCAAAACAAAACTCTGCCCGAACATACATTTTTACAGCTTTGTGGAAGATAAGTTTTTACAACCACTTTGCAAAGGCAACACCTGTAATTATATGTTCAATACCTCTGTTCGTGATATTACTGTCAGTAAAGAGAAATCTTTCTAAAATGTATGTTCCATCTACACTTTAGCTCACAAAATGAAAGACCGTTTACATCCCGGAAATTGGAAATGTGCAATGTTTTATAATAAAAAGAGGCATAAACTATTAATGGAAGCATACAGTTGTGCTCAAAAGTTTGCATACCCTGGCAGAAATAGTGAAATGTTTGCATGGATATTGAAAATATGACTGATCATGTCAAAAACTGTCTTTTATTTAACTGATCATATGAAACCATTTTATCACATAATTTTGATCTCCTTTTTAAATCATAACAGAAATCACCCAAAAGGCCCCGTTCAACAGTTTAAAATCCCTGGAATGTTTGGCCTTGGTACAGACATACAAGGTGACACTCACAGGTAAAAATGGCAATTAACGGTTAATTTCCCACATCTATGCCGTTTTAAATTGCAATTAGAGTCTGTATAAATAGCCCAACAACAACACCTTGACATGCCCACAGCTTCTGGCACACTGTAATCTGGAGTGATGAGACCAAAAGAGAGCTTTATGGTTACAAATGTAAGCACTATGTTTGAAGGGTCAACAAGGCCTACAGGGACAAAAATACCATCCCCACTGTGAAGAATGGTGGTGGCTCACTGATGGTTTTCAGGTGTGTGTGAGCTGTAAAGGCACAGGAAAATTTGTGAAAATTGATGGCAAGACGAATGCAGCATGTTATCAAAAAAAACTGTCAGACAATTTGCATTCTTATGCATGAAAGCTGTGCATGGGACGCTCTTTTCAACTTTCCAGCACTACAATGACCTAAGCACAAAGCCAAATTGACCATCTAGAGGTTACAGCAGAAAAAGGTACAGGTTCTGCAGTGGCCATCAGTCTCCTACCTTGATATCATTGAGCCACTTTGGGGAGATCTCAAAACGTGCGGTTCATGCATGACAACCAAGGACTATACATGACCTGGATGCATTTTGCCGAGATGAATGGGCAGCTATACCACCTGCAAGACTCCGACAACTTCTACAAAAGACTGCATGCTGTCACTGACATTAAAGGGGGCAGTACACAGTATTGAGAACTGACGTTAAGTAGATTTTTGAACAGGGGTCATTTAATTTGTTTCCATTGTTTGTTTTATGATTGTGCCATTCTGTTATGACTTACAGTTGAATATGAATCCTATAAGAAGTAAAAGAAATGTGTTTTGCCTGCTCACTCATGTTTTCTTTAAAAAAAAAAAAAAAACGTACATACTGTATATCACCAATTTTTCAACGGTATGCAAACATTTGAGCAAAACTGTACGTAACAGTAGCAGAGAAAGAAATAAAGACAAAGTAAGAACAAAATTGTATAATACCTAAGCCAAGCAGATGATGTTATACAGTTTACTTAAATAGAGATTTCATTTCATTTCAGTCACTACACACAAGCCAAGCACAGGCTTAGCTGCGTACTCATGGATACAGTTTAATATACTAGATTAACCAGGATTAAGCATATGGAGTATGAAGGAAAAAAGGATTTATCTGTGCCATATTCCATAATAGCAAAGTAAATGTTACGACTATAGAGAAGCATAACCCTGCAGATCATGACAGGTAGTTCTGGACTTTTTACACAAGGACAAGATGAGCAATCACAGGGTGTCAGTCATTCCTTCATCATATACCAGTCACGCACAAACTACTTTTTTCCCTATTTCACATCAAGTCACCCTATTATTCCCATGTCAATTTGTCAAAACACAATTTGTATGAGATAGAATTCTGATTAATCCGAGTGTCAATAGCCTTACTGTCAATTTGCAGTAGAAAATTTTAAGCTTTATTTAAAGGAGAAGTTCACTTTTTGACCAAAAATAATAAATGTACCTTATTTGCGGGTAAACATTGTGCATTTAATTATATTTGGTTGTAGGAATCTGT